AAAGAGAATAGGGGCTCTAGCAGGGCTCTTTAAAGGCTATATTCTTCTATATATAATATTCTTATCTAGATATTCCTTTAATTCCTGAAGTTCTGCCTGGGATAAGGGGTATAGTAGACTAAATAGTAGTAATTTATTAGGGTTTATATTAATAGTATAATCCTAAGAAGAATAAGAGGGTATAATTTTTAATTTCTCTAATAAGAATATATTATAGAACCTAGCTAGTTCTAGAGGTATATTCTTAAGAGAGTAATATTTATTATTCTTCTCTTCCTTAGAAAGCTATACCTCTTTAGGTAGTTTAACTAATATAAATACTATTATATAGTTATAATATAGTTTCCTAAACTTTTAAGGAGTTATTAGGGAAAAGGTTAATATTTTAAACTACTATTAGTAATTCTATAGTAATAGGTAGATGCAGAGGTCTTATAATATAGTTATTAAGAAAAGGATAGGACTTCCTTTAGATTATAGATCTTAATTAATAGTTATATAAGCTTACTTAAAGCTCTGCCTATTATCCCTAGAGTTATAGGTAATAATAGGGACCTTCTAAAGTCTAAACTCTATAAGTAGGAGTAATAAAGTTATTAACTACCTTAATAATAGGGGCAGTAAGTCTAGCTTACTATAGCTTTTATAATTTTATAAAGGTAATACTAATAATATTAACCTTAGTATAACTATTAAGATTAGTATATATCTTAAGGCTGTTAGCTAGTTATATTAGAATATAGAAATAACTAGTAGTCCCTACTTCTAGGTAGGAGGTTAGAGATATAGGTCTTACTCTAATCCTTTATTATTTTCTATAATAGATTAGACTTTAGTATTTCTTATAGTATATTAATTAGTAAGATATTCCTTACTTCTATATTTATAATACTTTAAGGGGTTCCTATCCTTACTAAGTTAGTTTTATTTTAGTTTTATAAACCTCTTAGGATTACTTTAAAAGTATTTAAATAGGTTGCTATCTTAGGGTTTCCCTTCTTATAGTCTTCTAGTATTCTTTCTCTTTTATTTTTATTATTTCTATAGAAAGGTATAGTATTTTAAGGCTATAGATACTATTTTATCTTAAGTATCTAGTAGTTTATCTAGGTACTCTTAGATATAGGTATATAACTCTAGTATAAGGCTACTAAAGAAGGCCAGAGCTTATTACTTCTTATCTTATTAAGGAAAATATTATTCTAGAGAATCTAGATAATAATAAAACTCTCTAGGGTCCTTATCTAGCTATTAATAAGCCTAATATAATTTAATAATAATATTAGCCTTAATAGTTTTAGTATCTTAAATTAGACTTAGGGTCTAGTTCTTAAAGAACTACTATAAATCTTTAGCTTCTTATTATCTCTCTATTAATATTTTATAGATCTTAATATACTATTACTACCTGTAGGTAGAATCTATTTATAAAATAGTAGTAATAATTTTAAATTTATTAGGGCTATATTTTTTTAGGGCACCTTAGAATATATATTCTATATCCTAGAGCTATTCTTCCCTCTTTTAAAGTAAATACTTAATAGTAAAGATAGAAAGATTCTTAAATTTAATTTCCTACTTATCTTCTGTAGAAGAGGAGGTGCTATTCTAGTAGTAAAGCTATTTAGGGCTATTAACTCTTTAAATTTACTAAAGATATTTAAGTTTAGTAATTTATTATAGGATTTATTATAAATTTATACTTATTAATTCCTGAGGTTAATTAGCAGGAGTAGAGGAGTTACTTAGATTTAGGGATATTTCTCTAGTAGAATTATATTATTCTACTAATAAAATAGTAGAAGTAATAGCTTTATGGTTAAAATTAGCAGGCATTATACTAATACTTAGGTAGTCAAAGAAAGAAGGATTAGAAATTATAAAGATCTATATAACAGGATAGATAGCCTGTTGACTAGGTAAGAATTAGTGATGATAATTAATAAGAGAGAATAGTAGAGAGTAGTAGATTATATATATATAAAACTAATCCTTGTCTTCTCAAGTATTAGATAAGGGGGATACTATTTATCTTTACTAACCATCCTGGATGCATTCAGCAATGATTCGAAAACAGCTCAAGGTATGGAAATAGGAGACTGAAAACAAATAAACAATTATGAAGCAAGGGGTGACTGCATAACTAGGTGGCTGGGCTGTAGCCAAACCTTTACAGTACTATATAACTAACTAAGTACTATATAACTAACTAAATACTAAAGGCATAATACAAGGCACTAAATCTAACTATAGTTAGATTAATTAAGAAAGAAATAGATATTATATAAATATCTTTAATATATTTAACTAGGTAATATAACTAAGTATGTAAAAATATAACTATATAGTATATAACTATGTAGTAAAGGTAAATAACTGAGCAGGATTATATAATAAGAACTAGCTAATTATCTATATTATACCTAAGTAATAAAGAAATCTATATCTAAACTATATTCTGTAATATTTACTACCTCTTAAGTTATAACTAAGAGATAAAGGAGTATAGTATCTAATAGGGAGTAAGAGGGCTAGGAACTATTTCTATTAAATAATAAAGTAATTCTTCCTTTACCTAATATATAATAGCATATCTCTAGATAAAATTAGAAGTATATAAGGTATAAGGATAATTAGTTCCTTTATTATTAGTTATTATTATTATAAGCTAACCTATGACATACACTATATATATATAGCTATAGTTATATAGTAAGAGTTAATTAGTATATTAATTAGTACTAGGCTATATAATTAAGCTAGTGTCCACCTTAGATAGGATCTTAAGCTAATATCTACCTTAGACAGGACCTTAAGCTAGTGTCTACCTTAGATAGGACCTTAAGCTAGTATCTACCTTAGACAGGACCTTGAGCTAGTATCTACCTTAGATAGGACTTTATTAGTACCTAAGATAGATTATAAGTACTTAGTAAGCTTAAGCATTCAGTAGCCTTTCTACTATATATAATATAAGCTACCTATATCTAGCTTCTTTCTTCTTTAGTAATTCTACTTTATTCCTTTATAGCCTATTAGAATTAGTTAGAGTATAGCCCTATACTAGAATTCTAGCTTATAATAGTTAGAGAAGAAATAGAAGGGTAACTAGAATAATTACTCTCCTACTTAGATATATAGTTTAAATACCTATAAATATAAGATAGGACTATATAATTAATATATATTATATAATCTTTAATGTTTATCTAGTTTATCTACCTAACTAGGTTACCTAAACCTAGTTAGGTTCTATATAAAAGCCTAGAACCTAACCTAGAATACCCCCCTTAAGTCTAAAACCCAGCCCAAGTTAGGTTTAACACATATTTCAGTTGGGTTACCTGGAACACCTGCCTAGGTCTACAACCTATGACAGCACAGTCTGTAATACCTAGCAAACTCTGTTCCCACAGCCACCTGTATGAGTACAAATATAGAACCCTTGATGTTCCAGCCGAATCATTAAGTAATACCCGCTTTGCCCAGTCTTGGTCTTGGGGGATCAATGATCATCACAGGATGTCCTCAAGGTGGGCCACTGCTGCTGCAAGCAGGGCCAGTAACAGAACAACAAGTGCATCATGACCATGATGAGTTCTTGGTTGGCCCTTAATGCTTCTAGAGGTCCATCAGATGGCCCATATCCAAGGCAGATACCCCAGCTGAATTATACTTCAGCTTTATATCATAGTCTACTCAAACGGTTGGTTCTCAGTGGCCACAGTGGTAGGATACCGCTGCTGTTTGCCTTGTTAGAGACCAGCTTTACTGTATCAACCACGCTAGGATAAGGACAGAACGCCCTCACCACCAATAATGCTGCAGAAGAGGGCCCTGCAGAAGATGGCGCCGCAAAAGAGGCAGTCAATCTTGAGATTCGTGCAGAGCCTTCAAGCACAGCACTCAGCTTTGCATGGGATAAGAACTGGGCTCTAGGTAGCAAACTTCAGCATATTAAAATACATTTTGGCCATATGTGACTTCTCTCTATTTTTAGTGGACAGGGGAAGCGATAGAATCTAATAAATGGCTTTTGTATCCTTAAAAGTCATAATATAAGGGCAGAACGCAGGTTTTATTAATGTAATAGGAGTATTCCAGGAGTAGCATTCAGGGTTTTTAAGCACAATAATATCGTCTTCTTGACTACAAATTGACAGAAAGTGCATTCTTATGCCCAGCTTCTTCTAATCATTATGCGAATGCCCTCTGGGACAGCAGAGAAATGGTTTTTGGTGATGGAGATAGTATTCACTTTAATGGCTTTACAGATAATCTAGATGTCATTGCCCATGAGCTTACTCATGGGGTGGTTCAGTACTCAAGCCTACTTAAGTACAGCTTTCAGAGTGGCCTTGAATGAGTCACTTGCTGATGTCTTGGGAATTATGGCTAAGCAATGGGGGAATGACCCAGAGCATCTACAGACTGCAGATTAATTCAACTGGCTGAATGGGGGAGGTATTTAGGCCGATGGTATTAATGGTAGAGCTCTATGTGATATGAAGGCACCTGGGATAGCTTATAATGATAGTAGAGTTGGATCTGACCCCTAACCAGTGCATTGGAAGGACATCCAAAAGCTTCCAATCACAAATAATCATATAGCATCTATATTAACTCTGGTATCCTAAACCATGCCCTCTACCAGGCTTGCAAGATGATTGGAGGGTATGTCTGGGAAACTGCTGGTCGTATTTGGTATAAGGCTCTGACAAGCGGTAAACTCAGCGAAGACGGTACATTCAAAGAAATCGCAGACCTTACTATCCAAAATGCTGAATATGAAAAGGAGATCAAGGAAGCTTGGAGCCTGGTTGGGTATCCGTTCGTTGGGAACGGGGATGAGTTGTAACCGCCTTTCGGAATGGGCTAGGATATTCCATCTCTGTCAGTCAACTACTGAATATTCATAAAAGTGTATTACTTTCCGCGCTCCTCCATACATCCACGAATATTCTATTGAATGACTCTTAGCGTTGCACTTCTTGCTCACATCAGGATCGACTTGTAGGGTTTTCTCGCGTTTGGGACACCCAAGGCCTCAGAGCCTCTGGGTCTGCTATCATTCTCTCCATTCCCAAGACACCAAAATGGATCAACGGTGAAAGCAGACATAGAATAATGTCTTGTATGTCTCCCAAATGAGTTAACTCCACGCGGGACGCCAATTGTTCCAAATCTTCAAGACTATCTTCTTCGAACGCATTCTTAGGGACCCTAAGGTCGGACTGGAATTTGTCGACAAATGCCCAGGCAAAGGCCAGGAATATGTGTTGAGCATAGAGCTGTACAAGATTCATCGTAGATAGTGCCCCAGGGATGTAATTGTTTAACGTCGTTGGATATCGACCCGCCGACCTAAAGGTATGCAATCTGGGCCGGATCAATTTGACCACTAGCTCGCGGTCTTGCCCAGTTGCCGTATTTTCTTGGTAGAAAGTCGGACTCTGTAATCCTCCTCCATTATATATGCCGACAATTCTGTTTCGTTTGCAACTTTTTTTCTCGGGTTTTGAGAAAACAGATTCTTCCTCCTCATAATCCTCATTGTAGTCGTCGTCCTCGCCTTCATTGGCGTCCGTTTGGAGAAAGGGTTTCACGAAGCAAAGCTTTGCCATTGCACCTTTTCCCATCCTTTGTTGAAGCACTTTGAAGAGCACGTCACTATTTTGACTGAGACCTAAGAGAAGCAGGGATCTTTCAAAGTTCTTCGTGAACCTTTTGCTCCTGACTGATTTGTCGTAATAAAGCCAAAGTGACAAAGCTGATTCCAGCCGTTGTCTCTCTTCTTTTCGAAATTCCCAGCGTTTCCGTTTGCTTGAGTAAGCTAGACAGAAAGTCGGTTTCTCTTTGCGCTCTCCAAGATCGACAACCACACACCATTGGAATTCCTGAACGGTTGATTCTGGGAGCCAAACGTTCGCCACACTTTCAATTGAAATGGCAAGGTTCTGCGCCATCTCAGTTGAGGGACATTCCCATTGACATATGTCAGCTATTCGAGCTCTTTTTTCGAGTAATTTGGTCGACTTCACCGCATTTTGCTCACTTGGCAAGGGAGCTTTGCAAGCGTCCGCAGAATGTCCACCGTACAAAGCCCAGACTGGGAGTGGCTTTTGCTCCGAAAACTTTTTAAAATCGGGGTCAAGTGTCACTTCTATCGCCAGCCAATCCATCTCATGCTGATAAAACGTTTGGTGAGCTATAGATGGACGCACGGTCTGGTGGAGGAACATCCGTATTCCCGCCATAAGTAAGGTCATACTGAATAGCGTGATCTGAGTCGGCCAATGCATCCCTGCCACGCCAATAACCTGAACAACATATCCAGCCCCAATGCACAATAGAATGAGTAAACAAAAAAGATCTCTTGCCCTACTCTTTCTGTCCCAGAAAGCGCTATTTCTGTACGACTCGATAATCTCATCGCCAGTCTCTTTGGCGATAATATAGGATGTATGATGTGGAGCGGCGTCACCGGTCCCTCGCTGGAGCCAACAAGTGAAAGATTTCCTAGTTTGTATATATTTGGATTTCTTTCCCTTGATGACCACTGAGGCTCGGCTAATAGTAATAGCGCATACGATGAGACCTATTGCCAGCAAAACAGTTCCTGCGACTGTGCAGATGTAGGCATAATGCGGAATCCCTCCGAACCTCGATCGTAGGGAGGAATTGAATTTCATCATCGAAGCAAGTACCAGAAACCCAGCCTCAAAAATGCAGGCAATTATGCAGCCAACTTGAGTTGTAAGCCATTTGGCTTTGGGCCTGAGGTTCAACAAGATGTTCGGTGGCCGCTTTGGGTCTATTCGCAATTCACGCGGAGGGTCTGCACTATCTCAGTAATTTCCTTGCTTTCCCTAATGGCAGAACTTACCAGCAAGACAATAGACTTCTCTCTGGCGTTGTGGTTCGATAAAATTATCGTAATCAATATAGAACTCTTCTATTTTTGCGCTCCCAGCGATCCTTGCCACATGGTGACCGTTCCATATTTCACATACCATGGACGACGTTGAAGAGGTTAAATCTTTTTCAAGCAGATTTATGTCTTCAGATGCCTTTCCAAACCCACTCTTCAGAAACCTCGGCCCCATAATTCTCACGATAGCGCTCAGGATCCAGCCGACTCCCAACGGTGCAACTGCAAATATGATCCAGTCTCGGTGGTCGMYKKA